AGGGGACAGCTTAAAATAGGGTTGTATGTTGTTTAGAGATATGTAGGCAGGGCGTAGGTGCTATGAAATTACTCATTATGGAGATAGTATGCTGTGGGCCACGTATCTAGGCGGCCGGGAGGTTTAATATTGAGGAAAACCGCAGGGGGGGGGGCTTTGTAAAAAAGGCCGATAAAGATGGATAACGGCCTTGCGGGTAGATAGTTGGGCCTTTTATGATAGGTAGGAATAGGTGGGGTGGGGAAGGGGGAGAGGCTGAGGTAGGGGGTTGAGTAGAAGGGAGGGTAGGGAGTGGCGTTAGTGACGGTAGTTCGTTGTGGTAATAGTAAATGGGGGCAGGGGAAGAGGCCTTCCTAGATACCGGTCTTATGAGGAAGAGCTCGGTATATAGGTTAGTGAGAAAGGGGTTGCGGTGTAAGAAAGATAGGCGAGGTTTGTTATTAAAACTACTGATGTGGGAGGTTCTATTAAGTTATTTCGTCTATCGGGGTTGAGGTATGGAGGTAGTCGTTGTATTGATTTCTTTTAAGTGGGTAGCTTTGAGGTGAGTGGGAAGGGGGGTGGGGGGTGGAGTGGGCGTGGAGGCGTGAAAAGGCTATATTAAAAGTAGTAGAAGTAATAAAGTAGATGAAATCCCGTTATTAATACGTGCGTGTTGTGAGGGGGGCGCGGGGTGGGCGTGGTGGGATGGAGTGAGGGAAGAGGGTGGGGTGGAAGGGGTGTGGGTAGGTGTATGGTGGATGTAGAGAGGGAAATGAAGAGGGTGCGGGGGTGAGGGGATGATGTAGGGTTGTGGGGTGAGGGTGGTGGTGAGGGGGGTGTGTGTGAATTTTCTTATAAAGGGCGGTGAGGTGTGAGTGGTAGGAGGGGTGAAAGTATAGGGGGGTTAGGGGTGAGGGGTGGGGGGGGGGGGGAGGAGGGGGAGGGGTAGATAACGGCCCGTATTAAGGAGTCTAGTAATAATAATATTTAGGCTATAGTTTAGAGTATATGCTACTTTCTTCTAAATGTATTACATAAAAACTATACATAGATAGTAAGTTTGCTTAAAAAAAAAAAAAAAAAAAAAAAAAATTAAGTAGTCTCCTTATGGGCTAAAAAGGAAGTTTAGTTTTTAAAAAAAAATAATTAATAGTTATTGTAAAAATATGATAATTGTTTAATTATTAACTAAACTGGCTTAATTAATATTAGTAATGAACTTACAGAGTTTCCTTTTTTCTTTAAGACTAAATCGAGTAATACTTTTATAAATAATTAAATAAGTATATTCCCTCCCTTTAATAAATGGTAGGTTATTAGTCCTTAGTAAGTAGCTAGCATATTTTCTCTCATTAGGCTATACCGGAATACTTTATAAATATTAATAAGTAATTCCCTCTTTCTTAATATAGACCTAGTTTAAAATTTGCTATATACTACCGGAGTACTTCTTTAGTTTAAAGATTCTATTCTCAAATCTATATATTATAAACTAATTAGTATTAGTTTTACTAGTAATATATAATATTAATTATATATAGTATAAATAATACTATTTTATATTATAGTTAGTAAAAGTTATTATTTAGAAATAGGAATTATAGTATTATAGTATCAATCATATCATATCCCTAAATCTGCTAAGCTTAAAGGGGTCTAGTCTACTAGTCAAGTCACTAAATAGGACGCAAGGTTATATAACCATGTCCTATATCTCATATCCTATTACTTATATCCTATTACTCATGTCCCGTATCCCGTATCCCGTAACTATATACGTGACTCCTAAAGGAATAGCTATACTAATAATAAATAAGGTTCTAATTTTTTAAATTAAAATAAAAATATAATATAAAAAAACTAATTAAATTACTAATAAATCTTATTAATAGAAATATATATAAATATAAATATTACTATTTATAACTTATAATTTGCTTATTATTTAGCTTATTTTAAATATTATAAATAGTTTATTATTTATTATTTATTATTATTTATTATTATTTATTTATTATTTATTTATTATTTATTTTATATTTATTTATTATTTATTTATTTATTTATTTATTATTTATTTATTATTTATTTATTATTTATTTATTATTTATTTATTATTTATTTTATTAATTTATTTAATTATTTTATTTATTATTTATTTATTATTTATTTATTATTTATTTATTATTTATTTATTATTTATTTATTATTTATTTATTATTTATTTATTATTTATTTTATAAAAATTATTTATATAAGCCTCTTTAATAATAATAATATAATATAATAAAAGATTTATAAAATACTTTTAGTAATATAAGTACTAAATTACTAGAGTAATAGTAAGGTATACCTTAAAAATAAAGGAGTTGATATATACGGTTATTAGAAATCAGAAAATCAAATCTCGCTTCTCGGTTTTATTAACTAGCTAGCTGTGGGCCTCAGTAGCTGGCCCTAAGTTTAATTTTTATTATTTCACGCCAATCCTCACCTCACTTTGCAGGTTCGCCAAGCCACGCGCACGTGACATCTCGCCGCTCTACTCACCCTCGCTTTACCCTCACCTCACTCCTCCTCACCCCTCCTCACCCCTCCTCACCAGCCTTCTTATGCGTACTCTATCGCCTCACCTCTACTCACCCGTCTTACCAAGGTATACTAATCGCCAGTCGCGCGGCTATCAAGAACGTTAACTCCTAGCGAGAAGGATTTAAGGTAACTGGAATAGGCTTTAAAGAAGTTATAGTAAGCCCTTAATACTAGAATAGGCTCCCGGCCTTATTATAAAATAAAATAATAATAATAAATAAAAATCTTATAAATTACTAAATTATATAATATAATATTTTATATTTTATAAAATCTTTTAAAAATATTTAAAAACTAATTTTTTTATTAATATTATATTAAAGGTTTTTAAATTTTAATAAAACGTTTATAAAAATCTTCTCATTAAAATTGTTAATATATAAATTGAAACTAATAATCAAAATAAATATTAAATTTTTTATAATATTTATATTTATTATTAAGCTTAATAATTATTCACAACTTTACTTTCTATTCCTTAAAGGCTTCCTCGGCTGGGTCTGCGACCAGCGAAGGGGAAAAAGGCGGGCGGAGGCGACCTGGCATCCGTTGTATTAGCTCGCTGGAGAACTTTTAGAAATGGTATCAACTGATCTACAAGCTCGAGGCCGGCAAGAGGGTTGATGATATGATCATTTGGCAAGGGCAAGATGTGAGCGAACTTAAGCAGCCCTTCCCGTAGGATTTGATGCTAACGAGAAGGGAGCGCCCGAGTAAGACAGCGGTACTAACTAACGAGCCTAGTATCACAAGTCTGTGTTTTTAGGGCATTTCGCTAAGAAACGAACCCCATAACAATTTTAGACGCTTTACTTTTGTATTTTGAATTAGTTATAAAGGTCCGCTAAACTTATTCTAGCTTCCTTTATCGTGTGCGCTTGAATTATGTAAGGTTTTAATTTGTAGTTGTTGTGAAACTATAAAGTGAAGTGGGTGACTTTGGTTTTGCGATGCCTGAAAACTTCGCTAAAAACACAGACTTATGATACTAGGCTCGTAACCACGTTAGAAGCGACGCAAGTTAAGACTCGGCGCAAATTACCGAGGAAATCCGTCTCGATCGACGATCTAGATTATCAAGAATGCAGTGGCACGTGAAGAAAACGCCCTATTCTTGGGAAGCGAGGCATGGCGCTGCTGAGCACAAGGAATGTCTCACAACCTCCCAATGAGAAAACAGGCTCTGACACCCAACAACTACGACATCTCCCCTCAATTGGTCCTCAATTCGCGATTCATGATTGTTATGCATTTGGTCAGGACGCATGAAAGCGCCCTAGGTTGTTGCACTCAACTTTCAGCTCAGACTTTCTTGCGCGGGATGGCATATATATCCAGCGCCCTTTCCATCCCCACAATGTCACCGCACGATAAGCTACATTCTATCTCTCTAGTTTGCCTCTTAGATCCACCTTGCGTTTCTTCTCACTTTGAAACCCTGCTCTGACCCATATTACAATCATACCAACCTAACAATAACCGCTATGGCTGAAACTGTCCCTCCACTGACCCAGGTTGAGCAGCTTTCTGCACTCTTGCAGAAAGTGGCCTTGACTGCAGAGTCTGCCAACCAAAAAGTCAACTGGGAGAGTATCCTCAAACTTCTCGGCACTGATGAACACTCCCCGGGGGATGTGTTGAATGGAGTTGGCGAGGATACGCTGAAGGAGTTGCTGGAGTTTTTGGACATATGGATCAGTGGTCAAAACACGATGATTCCAACCAAGTGGGAGGCCGACTACACCGATCTTGTCTATTGCAGTACCGTTGAGGAGGTCCAAGCCAAGGTGAAGGAGTGTCTGAGCAATGGTTTGATTCTGCGCATAGCCGGTGCCCAGCACTCTACCCCGGAAGCTGTGTTTGCTCCAGAAGGCGAAAAGGCCATTCGAGTTAAGCTGGAAGGCGATCTTAGGGCCATCGAATGGCTCGATAAAGACCCGGTAAACGACACTATCACCTTGCGAGTAGGGGCCGGCTGCAACCTTGGCATCGACCCGTCCGACCCTAATTCAAACGCAAGCAACTCGTTAACTCGGCAGCTCGACGCTCGTGGCTATGCCCTCCCAATTCTTGGCGGCATATCGCATCAGACAATTGGCGGCTACATGAGCACCAGCACTGCGGGAGGATCCATCGACTTTGGCTGCGCCGACTCGATTCTGGCCATCGAGCTTGTTGATGGACAGGGACAAGTGCGCAAGCTGGACAAGGTTGCTAACCCGGATGAGTTCAACGCTGCTGCCGTATCGATGGGCCTTTTCGGAGTGTTCACTCACATCACCATCACCGCGGGGAAAAAGTACCTTGTAAAGGGAAAGGAAGAGACCGTTCTCCGGCCAAACTCAATCATTACAAGCGGCACCGCCTTCCTCGATGCGGTACATCAAAACCACTATGTCCACAACGTGTGGTTCGCCGCCGAGTTTGTCAACAGTGTCCTGCAGTGGACAGGCAACCAAGTCGCGGAAGATCCAGGCAACCCTATTGTGCCTTATGTGCACCCGCTTGAGAGCCGAAACATGAACTACGCCGCTGCTACCACCTTCTTGGCCACAGCCTGGTTGACATATGACAACGCACCGCAACTGGCCGCGCTGATCTTCAACATTATCCAGCCTGTGGGGTCTTTCCAGAACTTCTGTGACCACTGGTACAGGGCGCTGCCAAACGACGACCTGGCCCTAATTGACGTTGTGATCCGAGTTCAGTTCACAGAGATCTGGATTGACTTGGAGGATGCTCAGAAGGTGTTTGACACACTCACTACCCTGTTCAAGAATGACCTATTTGCGGCCGGGAATTTCGGCGTCGAGATCTACCCCGGAAAAAAGTCGCCATTTTGGATGAGCATGTCTTATGGACGCGACGTTATCCGCATCGATCCATATTGGTGGGAGTACAACGTCATTGGCGATCTGGATGAGTACTTTGACAAGTTCTGGAAGGTGTTGCTGCCCTTCGAGAGTGCCCGCTTGCATTGGGGCAAGCACTGGCCTGCTGTTGGTAAGACTTATGGTAGTCGAACCATTGGTCCAGGCTTTGTTGAGGAGTCGTATCCAAATTTTGGGGATTGGAAGGCCTTACGTGCTCAATTTGATCCTAAGAATGTCTTTGTCACCAAGTATTGGAATGATTTGCTCGGTCTTGAAGCGGAATAATTAATTTGTGCTTTGACAGGAAACTTACCACAGGCAGGAGGGGTTTTGGAATATGTGAGCAAGACCCTCCAAATTATGTCCTAATTCTTCGGGAGAAATCTGCAATCCATTTTTCAGTTGGGTAATGGTTGAAAGTCTAGTTTCCTGAGTATCTGGCTTGCAGGTGCCTTTTCCTTAGTTATTAGGGCCTATGAATTCAATTTATGCGTTAGCCAAAATTGTCTTGACTCCTGAACCCAAAGTTGTTGTTTGTTTTTTTAGGAAGTGCTTTGGCCAAGCAGCATCGAAAGCAACCCTATTATTAATACCGTCGTCGGGAACAGGTAATAAAAGTATATATATTATAAGACGAAGTTATATAAATAAAGGTTTCGTGCTAATTTACTATATATATAATATATTTCTTTTTAACTACTTTTGTACTATATTTCCTTTAATAAATTAATAACCTTTAAAATTCTTAAGCGATATTTTATCTTATAATTCTAGTATTATAGAAGATTACATCCTCCTATGACACAATATAGGGAGGAGACGAATCTGAGGCCTCGGAAGTTCTAGGGGTCAAGGCCGTTATTTATTTGATACAGACTCCCTAGGCTTACTACTTCCCTCGGTGCTGAGCAGTCCAGTAAGAGCACAATCGCACTACAGATAGAAGATTTGCATATATGAAACTTGCAAGAAGAAAAAAATTCTTCAAACCATTTTTTGGGTTTTTTTGGCATCTCTTTGGGCTCCTCTAACATCGGGAGACATAGTTCTGGGAGTGCTTTGATGCCAACACCTACGAGTTCGCAGCACTAACACTTCGTGTAACTAGATATAATTGCCAACTCGCCAATGATATTAATCGTATTAACTGAGCAATTTTCCTGTTAAGCGAATATTCAAGGATCTGGTGGAGGCTAAGAGGTAATAGTCAATCGAAGGGTTCGGGTAGCTAAGCCATAACACTTTAAACTCTTTTGCCGGGGGCGTGGGTGAGAACCAACATAGTGCCATTCTACCGAGCACTAGCTGTGCCTCATCATCCCCCCTTTTACAGTTTTCAGGATTCGGGTATTGACTTCGCCTCCCCTTTCCAAATTTCCGACATATTATTTGCTCAATGTTGTCAAAGGCACTCCCCACGTTCATTGGATGGTTACAATAGATCTCTCCTGTTTAATCTCGGATACGGGGGCTGTTTTTGACATTGTAGAAGTCCAACAATACTGCCTCCCATCCTCTAAAGGATATGAGCTCCTTTGAGTACTTATAGCTAAATTCATTTCTCGATTCCTATTCATTCTCGTTCTCAGTTATTCTACCATATATATTTTTAGGATTTCAACCACAGTCATAAATAAGCATATTCATTCCTGACTTATTTCTTAACAAAATGTTCCATTCTCTTACAAAGACCCTTGCTGTGGTCCTCTCACCTCCCTCACCTACGCTAATATCCACAGCGTTTACAACGATGCCAATTTCACTTTCTGGGACCGACACATCTATCCAGATCTTCATTATAACGCAAATTTCAAGACTGATGATAACGATGCTCCCCCCAAACTCTGGGAGCCTATGTCTGGCTCCACACTCGTGAAGAAGGGTGGAGCAAGCTGAGGCCAATCTGTTATCTACCACGTTTCCGGTCACCCAGCCATCCTCAACGATCCCTTTCGACTTCAGCTTGCCCGCCGATTTCGGACCGGCGGGGTTCGTGGGAGTGATCGAAATAAGAGAGTACGCTCCAGGAACTGTTCCGAAGACTATGCACTCCGATAACAACGAGGAAATGTTCAGCACCAGTTGGAGGTATGATAATGGGACGGGAACATTCACTGATGACCATCTTGATCCGAATGGGGAGATTTCTTGCGACTACTACATTAGCAACATCGCTTTATTCGTAGAAAAGGACAAGTGCGAGAAGATTTACTGGGGACTGCTGTGCCATGGATTGGCCGGGAAAGTCGGACGTGGGAGTTTAAAAATGGCTTATGAAAGACAGAAGGAGTTCTCTGTATAATAGAACCGCGTTATGTTCCCCCCCGTTCGTCAATACGAGCGATTGATCAATCGGACCTAAGCGAGGAGCCCGATTCGCTAATAAAAGAGCCCGATTTTAAAATAATTTATAACTTTCTAATAAAGGATAAAGGCCAAAATTTAAGTAAATAAAAAGGATTAATACTTATAAGAAACTTAAATAAATTTTTCTTAGATTAAATTCTATTAGAGATTAAAAGATATATATAATTTTATAATTTTAAATTAAAATTATAATAAAAAGGTTTTAGAGTCATAATAAAAGGTTAAAGCTAATATTACTTAATTAATATAATTAACTAAACTATTTCTAATAAATTGTATTAATAGGATTTTAATAATTTATGGGGTTTAAAATATTTTAGTATTTTAAAAATTTGCTTGTATTCGACCTCGTATTTATAAACCGGAGTTCGCTTAAGCAAGCGATTAAGCAATCGGGGTCCGCAATTGGGCAATGGGGACCCCAATTGACTAATCGCTTGTATTAATGAACGGAGGGTAATAGTTCATGTTATCCGAGATACGGACTCTCCTTAAGTTTCATAAATGAAGAACCTGCATCAAAAATAGGAGGACATATAACGATGTTCAATAACTAGATAATAGTACGAATTTTCTCATGGTTAAAAAATAACAAATGGACTTGAAAGCGTAGAATAACCACTTGGCAAAAGAATAGTGTCTCATAAGTCACCGTGGACCACGTGACTCTATCATAACTTGTTGCGAGTTATTTATAGCTGTATGCGTCGCCAAAACACTTTTCTCCAGCCCCCCAACTCGATCCCTAGTCGAAATTCCACCTAACATAAACGACTTGCCTTCCTTCTCGTGATAGGGTGGATGGGATTTGGAAATACAGGGTCTTTATATGACCACCGAGTAAACTCAATATAATAGACCAGGTGAGTTATCAGATTCAAGCTTTTTAAGCAGGAGACACGATAAGTGTACTCCGCAAATTTGTCTATATGGTATTGGCAACCAATGCGCGAATTAAATACATCTAGGATATAAACAAGACCACCTTCAAAGGTGACAAAGAATCGAATGCCTTTCAAGGCGGCCAATTTTGAGACTGAACAGCAAACAACTTTTTCCAAGCATGTGTCTAGCAACTAACGCCAACGTAAAGCAAAAAATTATTAAAAAATTAAAAAATTGCCGCCTTTTTGATGAGAACTAGCAGGGTGTAATATACAGGGTGTTTCGGAGATGCCGTGAGGCGGAAGGATTCTAAATGCGCAAATTAATCAGACAAACAGCAGATGACCGTTCTCGGATTCGGACCGAAGTATACAGGATGGAAATATGAGACGCCACGAGGCGGAGAGTACAGAATGTAGAACGCGAGGTGAAAAAGGAAAACATTACTGAAAACAAATCTAACGCTGACGCGGTGCGTACTAAAACGCTACTACAAGATATATGTCCAAGAACAGAAATGCATGGGAAGAAATCAATCCCACACCAGAAAACAGATATAACTACAGCAACCAGAGAACAACCGCCAGGTAACTTTTTTAGCCCCAAATCCAACCCATATTTTCCCAGCCTATAAATGGACGGCGAAACCGCATGGAAAGACCATTTTGTGTAACAGTGAACGCGAGGTGAGCAAAGACAGAACATCCCGGAGATCTGTGGATCGAACACAATGTCCAGCATGACAACTTGCCATCTGGGACACGGCGCAGAGAAGAAATAAAAAAACAAATAGCACACCGCGACATGAATTTTTCTCCTCCCAAACAGTCTCCCAAATAAAAGAATGTGCGAGGCAAAAAGTAATGAAAGGGTGGACAAAAGATGCAAAGGGCACCATGTTCCACAAGAACCCTTCCATGCGACGCCGCGCTAAGGTCTACCAAAAAACCATTAAACTCCGACCATGTACCAAGAACCCGCTAACCGCCCAATGCCTTACATCCAGTCGTATTGTACAAAATCATTCTCATTCAGCTGCACCGTCTTTGGTCTTGGAGGAAGAGCCCGCGGCTTGCTGAGCAGCATCCCGTCGTTCTTTTTTCAGTCTTTCGTTCTCCCTGACCTCCTGTTCGTGCTTCTCTAGTGCTTTTCTTTGCTCTTCCTTTTCCTTTTCTGTCTTTGGAATGGTGATATTCATCAGACATAAGTTCATGCGTGGCGGCCCGTCTGGAGGAAACAAGAAATCTTTTCCCAAGAGCAGGCCGTCGTACGGCGCCTTGTCTGAAGCGATGTAAAACGTGTTCCTCTCGTGCTTTGAGTGGCCATTTGGTTCGTTGAATATCCGCCAATTGAGGGTAACGCTTCCTCTTGTAGTCTCGACTGGACCCTCGTTGGTGTAGTACTTATAGACCGTGGGGCGAATCAGCTTGGAATCGAGTGGAATTTGGAGCTTTCCAAGTGCTTTGGGAGAGATATGGCTATGATCGCTTCCGCAGTCAATTTTGCCGATCGTCGTTATTGCAACTTCTAATGTTGGATGGAAGATTCTCACGTCGCGCTGACACAGCTCATCGATGGTGGCACCACTGTTTCTTGTATCTGAGACATGATCCAATGCCGTGTTTGTGGGTCCTTCTGTCTTGACTGGGGCTGTGTTTGGGATGCTTGTGTTGGGTACGTTGCCTAGAGTATCCGTGCCGTCTGGTACAATGAGATTTTCTGGGATGTTAGAGCCCTGTACAGCAGCACTCTGAGGATAGACCGTGTCACGTTCAATCCGGGAATCAATTGAATCGACGGACAGCATCGTACTAAAAGGACTGTGTGTGCAGTGCTGAGTAACATGTTGGGCTGAGACAGTGCTGGTCACCGAATGCTCACGGCTACGGGTCGGGGCAGTATGGAAGGAATCAGCCGTGCTTGATAAAGAGACTTGCGAGGCATTGCGATTGAGGTTGTTCGCAGAGCTGAGACTTGAGGCTGGACGGATGTGTGGTTTTCGGGGGGAAGATGGAGCTGATACCGGAAGTTCCAGTCGCGATGATCCACCTATAGATTGCTGTGTCGAAGCCGGCGTTGGAGGCAATTCCTTATCAAGGTCCAGGGCGGGCTCCGGCGGAGGTATTTCCTTGTAAATATCATTGCTCTCTGCTTCTTTGGATAGCTGAACCTGGTCAGCGTTTTCATATTGAGAGTTGCAGTCAACAAACCTCAAGAATGCTCTCGCAGTCGTCAGCTTTACTCCAGAACTGCTCTCGCCATTCTTCATGAATGATCTTCCTCTGCCAAATATCCACCAAACCGCCGTACACACCAACCCTAGAACTTTCTCGCACAAGTGCATTTATGGAAGAATAAGGCTTCTCCCCCGACCTTTGATCGGCGACATCGAGAGTCCAAGTAGAAAATCGACTTGTCACTGGCGGTCTGGATGTCCGATCTTGTTTGGAGATCTCGTCGAAGTTGGTTGAATTTGTCCGAGACGTGGTTGCAGATGATGTGCCAGAATTTGCCCCATTGAAAAACGACGAGAATACACTTGAAATCGACCATACCGACGATACCGTCCCATCGGAACTGCGGTAGGAGTCGGAAGCTTTGGGCTTTGGATCGGACGCCAACGCAGGCTTGGGAGGCGGGGCCAGAGGATCGTAAGGTTTGGCGTGATTCCTTGGAGTATTCAGGGTTGCCAGAGCAAGTTTAGGGCTTCCGGCGTCGGTCTCCCTCCCCAAGTCCTGTTCTTGGTTTCCCGAACCTGACATTCTGTTCTAATGTGTCTGCTCGGGTACGGCTGAGCTGGCAGGACGCGATTGAAGCTGTCGGAAGGCTCGGCCGAGCCAAACAAGAGGTGGGAGGCAGTCTACAGCTCCGATTGTTCCAAGTGTGTGTCCAATCTCGCAGCGATGGACGCCGTTGCTGATCCGTCTATAATGAAAGGCCGCCGAAGGAATGCCCAAACTCCCCTCCCAGACTTCGTATGTAGCTTGTAACGTAGATACAAGATTGCGAACGACGGAAATTCGAATGTTCAGGGGATCGAGGGCTATGTACGGCTCGGGGTCTTCGAATGTTTGTCCGCCCCAAAAGAGTGGTGGGACTCGGCCGAGACTGGCGATGAGGATGTGCTGCAAAAGAGTGTGGAGATGAGAACAATGCAAACTGGAAGGTATTAGTACATGAATGTCGGAATGAAATGCTTCAAAGCTCTCGAGAGCCGAGAAATCATAGTGTCTCATAGCAATCTTATCGATTGCGGTCGACCCGTCCTGCACACCTCCATTCCGTTCCTGGTCTCGCAGGGGTGGTTGGAAAGGTGGCCCGGCGGCTGCCATGAAACGAGCAGGGGGATCGATCTCTGAGCTTGCCTTCACTTCAATCCATCCTATTATTCTTTCTCAACATACTTCTCTCCGTCATGAGAACTTTTGGCAGCTCTAATCGACCTTTTTGCCTCGGTGGTGCCCAGGAAAGGGCCCAAAGGGCCAAAGTTGCTGACAATGCGTTTCTTCCGGTCTTCGACCCCGCTGGGACGGTCCCCGCTGAAACCTTGAGTGGAGGAGACATGTTTCGGTTGATTGCAGGAATAATGATTGATTGTTCTTTTGCTGACGAGGTGGAGAACAAGAGGTTTGATGCTTCAAGCAATGCGGCTCAAGCATTCATGTCAGGGAGGAGTTCTCCATCCACGTCTGGAAGTCCACGTGTTCGGGATTACCAATCATCCGCCAGCATATGCTGTGCTCTGTGTGGCTCAAAGTGAGCGCGAGCCATTCATCCAGGAGTCGTGTTCAGTCCGGTTTTACGGCACTCTGATTTCCGGCAACGAAATTTTCAAAGAAATTCTTTCTCCCTTTTCTCTCTTATCATGTCCCCGTCTAGAAGGAACACCTGCGTGTCCGGAAATTGCACTAGGTTCAAATATTTCTCTAGATGCTATTCTCTAGGAGCGTTCAGCAGGGGTCGAACTCGGTAGACAGCCTCATTTTCTGAGCGTTAAACGTCAGGCACTCTTCACCGATACACCGACACTTCTGCGAGAAAGCCTTGTCCCACAACTAGAGAAACCGAGATGGCATGCATAAAAGTGGCCTACGAGAAGGCTCAGTCCAAGGCGTTATGCACAAGTGCAGAATGCTCGATGAGATGGCGAGCCAAGCCTCGAGAAGCACCAGAAGCAAATCAAGACGTACATCAATAGATATGAGAGCATTCGCTGTAACTTGCTCTCAACTTGCTCTCGAGGTGCGGACAACTGTCGACCGGTCATTGTTTCCATTTACCAGAACGATTACGAAGCTAAAACCCAACATGTCCTCACAAACAGACGATAATGTCCCTGAAAAAGCCCCTCCAACCACCCCACTAGTTCTTGGATACCCCACCTTGGCCGCATACATCGGTGCCACCCCGGAATTAACAATTTTCCGACGCTTCACAAATTTACAAACCCAGAGCCTTCTGTACTACCAAGCCGAATTAACCTATCTCGAAGGACAGCTACGGGAGCTAGAGGTCGAAGCTTCAAATAGCGAGGATTTAGACCACCCCAAGTCCAGATTCGCCAGGGATTGGGAATGGCTCGGTGCTGTAGACTTAAACGGTGGTCTGAACCACCATATGACAGTCGTGCTCCGCATCCGTGCTGTGATTAAGGAATACAGTACGTTGAAACCTCCCAACTTTCACATGAACACCCCAGAAGCTAGAGCAAACTCAGACAAACTACTTCTCCAACAAGCAGGACTAGCAACCCTTCCCAAACCTGGCGGCTACGACCTCCACTACCTCCAAGACTGGCTCCTAGACCCCAAAGGCGGGAAGTTCCCTCTGCAAGGACCAGACCGTAACTGGGTCTACTCCAACGATCTTCTCGCTCTCCGGCGTCGTGCAGAATCAGACTTTTCCGCTAAGTGGGTTTCAGAGAGACTTCTTCCCTTGTACCACCGCATTTTGGGTCGCTACATACACAAAAAGAACCCTCATCGTGAGAATGAAGTTACCTATAGTGATTCGTTGATCTTGAAGGCGGCGTCGATGTTAGCTACAACGCTTGCTGCTTTGCTAATCGTTGCCCCGGTTGTGGTGTTGTATGAGATTGGCTCAATGAGAGCGAGGCTGGGGTTGATGGCTACCTTTACGGTGTTGTTTTCGTTGTGTGTTGCTAGGCTGACGGGTGCGAAGAGGACGGATGTGTTTGCTGCTACTGCTGCGTGGGCCTTCCTCCCCCCTTCGAAACCTGGTTCTTGAGAGCTAACAATATAAGTTTCGCTGCCGTTCAAGCTGTGTTCCTTGGGTCGAATGGTGCGGGACCTGTAACGTTGATCCCCGCGAGTGGAATTAATGGAACCTCGTTTGTGCAGTTAGGACTCGGAATGAAATGAGACGAAAACTGTCAGGTCTTTCAAGCTAAGATGGCGGACCTTCACTCTCTGCTACTAAACGGAAAGATCGATCACGTGGGAAATATTCAAGCTCAACATAGAACAAAAAGATTATATCCCAGAAAACTGAAAATGCTATCACCAAGGCATGAAGAGAAAAATGGCAACGAGAAACACCCAATACTTCACAAAGGACTCGAGAGCGCAGAATCACCACTTGGCACAGGAACAGCATCTTATTCGTTACGCTGCACTTTTAAGCGAACCTGAGTACTTGACATTCAGGGGCAAAACGCTGCTAGAAATGATTAATTTCTAGTTTGGAGTCTATATGCGAGAACATCGTAGTTTCCATAAAGCTCGCCCACTGCCGCCTTGATCGTTCCACGGACCACAGAGGACTGAATCTCGAAAAATTGAATCTTTATCCTCACTCTGGGACGACGCGATCGTTCTTTCGAGGAGAGGCCCAGGACAGTGGGCAGTGGTTGGGTGTCTCTTTGAGACAGAGAAATTGACGAGGCTGACAATAACGGCGAGAGCCGTGAATGGAGCTTTGTGGGCGGAAGTATTGGCTAGACTCCCGCATATATCTCATAAAACGTATTGTTTGGGCACAACAAGTGTCCATCTTGTTAACGTGCACCCAGGGTCATACAAGTGGCAACACCCCAGTCACATCATGACCCCTCACACCAACCTCAAATCCCAGCCTTTTCCTCAATAACCGCCAAACCCCGGCCGATGCCTCTTCAACGCTCAACTCCGTCGTCTCAACCTCTCCACAAAACAACCTCACACCCGCATCTTCCAACTTGTCCAAGTCAAGTAACTTGTATTCCCTCCTAAACCTCTCCAACAGCGCTCGATCCGTCAGCTTCCCCTTCGCGAACCCATTCGCACTTCCCTTCCTCTCCTCACACTCCACTCTCCTTCCGTTCTCCTCAACCCCACAAACCAAATTCAGCACCACCATCGGACACCTCCTCCCCCTCGCCACTGCCAGAAATTCCGCAAACTGACTCCGCCCCTCTTCCGTCTCTGATAAGCAAGACGTCATCAAGATTACCAGATCTCCAGGGAGAGTCTCTAGAGCCGCGAAGGCGAGTTCGCGAAATGATTTGCGGAGACGGTAATGAGAGGCTGTGCGCTCGGGTTCGATAGCCGAAACGGGGTCGATGAGGAGGTGGTTGTCTAAGAGGCGGATTTGCGGTCCCGTACTGGGACCAGAGGAAACTGGTGTAAGCAAGCGCAACAGATTCTGTGCGATTGTAAGCTTGCCGACGCCGGGGAAACCGTTTAGGAGGAGGAGGAAGGGCGGTGGTGGTGCTGCGATTTTGACGGTGGCACTCGAGAGCCGTAATTGGGCTTGGAGTAACGGCGCTTCGTCTTCTTTAATTTGGAATATTTGCTCTTCTGGTGACATTTTGCCAGTTTGTGGTGAGGATCTAGTGTTTGAGTTGACAGTGCCAGGAGTTGTTGGTTGTGTGACATGGTTGTGGTACCTATAGGATACGGATGACGAGATAAATCTGGTTTGCTGAATGGGAGGATAAGTCATAGTTATTCATTCACTTGGAATTGAAGTAAACTTGATGAATTCAGAGGCGATGAAGTGCCGAGGGCAAGGATGAGAATAACAGGTGGGGTGGTGGAGTAAACATTCACCTTCGTACTGCAAACAAATCTCGACTCGCGGATTTTCGTAATCTCTTTATAACGGAATGTCACTAGTGGTGACCTCGGGAATAATGAAGCAAAGAAGAAGGCTACGGCTTTTATTCTTCATGACAACAAGGCTGGCCTTGCCAGAGATGGAAGGCGATATCAACCTAATGTTGATACTAGCACAGCCGCGTCAAAATCTGCTGCTTAAAATTGGGCACTGGCCGCACATATTGGCCTGGAAGGTGTATGTGTACTCATAATAGAATACCCGGAAGTAGTTTGACTTGAGATAACATTTAACGAAGTTTGGAAAGGATATGAGAGAGGGCGGAATTCACGGTATGCGCGAGGCTGCGAGAAAGCGATTTCCCGTCCGGTACCTAGCGAAAATGTCGTAGCCTAGTTGTCAGAGTGGCTGTGCCATGCCTGCATATGGCACATTTCTACCCGTTAGGCTCCCTGCGCATCAGGTTCGGTACCAGTGTGTCAAATGATTAGGTTTGAGTTGATTAGACCCCCCTACTCAAATCAAATCAAGTCAAAATCAGGCTAATCAAATCATACTTAATTATAATCAAAGATAATCAGAGATAATTAATTAGAATTATCACGTGACCACGCACATGACTCCGGAGCTTCGGAAGCCGAAATAAGGCTAAAATAAGGTTTTGGGCTAGCCGTATTAGGTATCGCTTTAGGCGTTCCTTACTAAATCGGGTATCGCGCCGCTTAGTAAGCGAAGCGGCACGAGCCGAAGGCACTAGAACCTACTCGATTTTCTAGAAATTCCTCGCTACCTTATAAATCGAATTATTATAAATAAAATAGCTAAAAATAAGCCCTCTCATAAATAGATACTTTGAAATTAGGGGATTATAACTAATCAGATACTTATTAAAGAATCTTCTAGATTCCAGAGAATTTATATATAAATAAGTAATTTTCCTTAAGTTATTTCCTTTTCTCTTTACTTTATATATAAATATCTCAATAACTATAGCTCTAATTAAGAAGCTTTTAACTATAAACTTACTTATTATTACTTAATATATTCGAAAATATCTCAATAATCCACTATTAATATTAATATCCTCCAAAATAAAGAGGATTTCAAACTAGAACTAATTTCGAAATAATCTCCTATTTTTAAGCTTAGCTTAATAAAAAAGACTTTAGACTTTTCTAAAGCTAATCCGGAAAATATTAGTAATTATTAAACAATTACTATTTAATACCTTTTTAAGGGGTATATATAAGTAATATATATTATTAATTTAATTTTAAATAGCTAATACAATTTTAGTAAAAAATTCAAAAATTAATAAATTAGTAATTTAATAAGTAATTATTAGGCTTACTACCTTACCATATATAAGTCAGTTAATATAGACGCTATATTAAAAGGCAATAAACTTTGCAAGTAATTAATATTAATTATAAAATAATAACTAATAATTTTTATAGCTATTTCTTAAAACTTTAATTAAATATCTATTACTAAATCATTTAGTAAAGCTACTAGTCAAACTAGTAAAGACTTTGCTATAGTTTACTTTAAAAGATTATTATTAGACTTTATAATTAATAATAATATTTCTTTTAGAGCAATAATTACTCTAAGCTTTAAAAAGCTACTTTAATATTTAAACTAGTAAGTTTTATTTAAAATTACTTATATTAATATATAACTAACCTTTATATAGTAAAGTACTGCTTTTATATTCTAAAGTACTTATAGATAAGCTTATTTTGAGATATAATAATAATAGTAATCTTATAAAAGAAGAATTATTAAATAATATCTTATTAAATAGTACTTTTTCTATTACTTTAGATATTTAAATAGCTATAAATCAGAAAGCTTATTTAGGAATTACTATATAAGTTATTCTTATTAATAATAATTAATAAAAATATTTACTAATTTAATTTTTAGATATTTTATAAATAAGGATTTTAAATTAAAATCTTATTTATTAGCTATAAAAGATTTAAAAGATATTTATAATAGTAAATATATGAATTCAGTTCTATTAAAAGCTTTAAAAGCCTATAGTATTAAATATAATATTACTAGGTAAGTAATATAAATCTTGTTTTTTTATAAAAAATAATTACTAATATATTTTATTTAGTATTACTCGAGATAATACTAGTTCAAATAATATCTTATTACAAGCTTTTATAAAGTATTATAATAAGGAAGATATTAAATTTTAAGGAAATATTTCTTATATAGCTTATATATTAGACTTAGTAATTCAAGATATCTTAAAAGCTCTTATTAAAAATAATTATAATATTTCCTATTCTATAGATTTATATAAGTAAAAAAAGAATAAACTTAAAGAAAATGAAAAAAAGAAGAAATAAAATAAGTAATAAGTAAGTTTCTTATATAATTTATAAGAGATTTATTAATAAATTATAGATTTTATTAATTTGGAAAAAGGTTAGAAAAACTATTATAAGTCTTAAATATAATCAGGAAAATTAACGGCTATTAGAAGCTCAAATTAAAGCTTTTAATATAGAAAATACTCGGTTTCCTTAACTTAGTAAGTAATTAATTAATTATTAATTTAATTATTAATTAATACTAATTATTTATAAATTAAAAAATATAGTAGTCTTTAACTTATTATATATTAAAAGACTTTTTATATATATATAAAGCTATTAAAGTAGTAATTAATAGCTTGAAATCTAAGGCTTTTAAAAATAAAAGTCTAGTTTTAACTAATATTAAAATTATTTATTTAAATAATATTTTAAGTATAATTTCAATATTTATTAAGGCTATAACTAAATTATAAGCCGAAAACTGCCCTATATTATATTATATTATACCTAAAGTATATAAAATATATAATAAACTTAAAGGTTTTAAAAGAGAATTTAAAGTAAGTCTTCTTCTTTTATTTCTTATTATATTAATAAATATACTAATTTTAAATAGGATAAAACCTTCGAAAATGCTATTAATAAGAGAATAGCTAAGCTTCGAAAATATAATCCTAAAACCGGCATTTTAGATAATAAAAGTAAAGCTTTATATTTAGTTCTTATTCTTAATCCTCGAATTAAAAGAGCAAGACTAGCCGGAATTAGATTAGCTCCCGGAATAGTATCTAATATATATAATAGGCTTAAAATAGACTATAATATATAAGTATATATTTTTATTTAATTTTTAAATTTTTAAATTACTAATTTTTATATAGATATAAACGAGACTATTTAATAGCTAATTCTCAAGACTCTAGTTCTAATATATCTATAGAAGATTTTAACGAAGATGAACTTAATATTTATATAAATAATTAAGAGAATATAATAGAAAACGAATTAATAACATATTTAGAAGAAAAGAAAGTAAATTAAAAAAATATATAAAATCCACTTACTTTACTTTAAATTTTCTTAGGAACTACTAATTTCTTTATTATAATTTCTTTATTATAATTTCTTTATATATAAGTACTAATTTAGCTATAGATTCGGCCCTTAGAATATTAGAAAGCTAATAAAGCTAGATTTTCTATTTTATTTCTTATATCAAGGAAGTATTTAGGAATACCCGCTTCGTCCGCTACTAGCGAGCATTTCTTCTCACAAGGGGCTCTTATTAATACTAAACTACGTAATTGACTTAATAAGAGTACCTTTGAGAAGATTATATGTCTTAAGAACTAGGGGGTATTTATAAACGAGGAAGAAGAAATAAAAAGGGAAGAAAATAAGGATAAAAAAGATAAAGAGGAGGTTGTTAAGCAGAATAACCGGTTTTTTATTCCAGATTTAGACTATTTTTATACTCTTATATATGTTTCATAAGTTCTGTTTATAGTTTATTAATATAGCTATTAATTATTTAATAATCTTTAAAAATGCCTAAGAAAGTATACTTTTATATTATCACGTAATGATTATAATTAATTATAATTAATTATCATAAAAATCAAGCTAATCAAATCATACTCAATTATAATTAATTATAATTAATTCTAATTAATTAGCTTTGATTATTTTTTGACACACTGTTCGGTACAGCCTGAGCCATAGGGGCTCACCGAGCAGTGGTGCATAATGGGGCAATTGTAGCACCCCTAGCCATCTCTGAAGAATCATTCTAATATTTACATGAACGCATGTATGGAGCAGAACAGAACTCATGATCTCCTCTATAAACGTCCAGCACAGTTTTATGTTCCTACTTCGCCCACAAAAAAACAAAAACTAAAAACAAAAATATCTGAGTTTGTATCTAGAAAGACGGCGTTGATAGGGCCAGCCTTGACGAGCGCGCACTCCACACAGAAATCGATCTCTGCAGTCGTCTCCCCAATCGAGACTGAAGCTGAAACGACAAAATGGTTCCTGAACGCAAGAGTGGCTTGGTGGGATAAACCTTTCCCCAGCATTCAAGACCCCAACTAATGCGCCACCTTCTCTTCGAAAAGCCTCACCTGTGAGAAATTAGTAAGCAAGCACTATGCAAGGGTTACAGCAGATGCAATATATAGGAGATCCCGCGACTCAACATGTGGGCTGGGAATAGTACCAAGACACTTGCCTTTCGATACATCACAGGAGCTGCCAATACTTGGGCAGATCCATGCCAAGATAGTCAGTCAAGCTCCCAAGCGGTACCCGTCTTGCGCTACACAGAATCAAATAGCCAGGAGTTGGTTCTCTGACACTAGGATATCGTGCGCTTGGTACCAACGTCACGACCCCCCAAGACTGCCATATGCCGCAGCAGACGTCAAATTATGTTTATCTGATCTGCTCTTCCTCGCTGTCACTTATTCGATGCCGTAAGCCGTGGTCATAGGGAGTGAGCATGTTTCGGCATGCACCGAAGGAAATTATCGATGCGACTCGGATTTGGTGGCCGCAAACCGTGATAGAATAAGGTGGGCCAGTGCTTCAATTCGCGTGTATCAGTCGATACACCCCAAATATTGTGGGTTGAGAGCATCGCTACTTGCATGCAAAGAGGTTGAAGTGATGTTGAGATTGAGGTCTATATTTCCTCTCGGAGTTGGAATTCTATGCTCGGCAGGGTTGTCTCAATCGGGCTAAGCGCCTCGCTGATCATCACGTGCACCACGCCTCACCCCCATCTTCTCCTGCGCTCCCAACGCCATCTCCAATTCTACCAGACACATCTTCCATCGCTTCTTCTTGCTTGCGATCTCTCACTGAGCATATCCGATTGAACCAATGGCAAACAGAACCGCTTACATTTCGCAGCCTAAGCGAGGTGATTCCCCCCTTGATCACCGCAGAACAGACCTTCTCAGCTATGCACTCTCCCGTTGGCATCACGCCCTTCTGCATCGTCCGACGCACCAGCGAGATCACGACCAAGGTGAGCCCATGGCGCCATTGTCATTGGCCTCTCAGACCCAAACCGCCCTATCCCCTGAGGCAGAATCCCATTGCCAGCGTTCTGAAACGGGAGAACGCACCGCGGCACGGAATTCCAAAACCAATACTGACCCCTTCGTCTGATCTCCTGGAAATCAGACGCCCGCCCGCCTGCACGAGCCATCCACTTCAAAAACTTTGGGTCCCGGGTCTCCAAATCTCCCCCATGCTTTCATTTTGTACTTCGTATCTAAATTCTTGATGCATATTCCTCAGCATCAAGAGCTATCTTCTGTGTGCTCTCCTCCTTCGTTCAGTCAGATATAAAACCCCCGCTCATTGCACTCCATCATGTCGAAAGCTGCTTCACTTCCTCCTTGGGAAGTCACTCCCCCGTGGCAGAAACGTGTCCCAGTGACGGCAGCACCTATGGTCCCGAAAGTTAGATTCGGTCATCTAGAAAATACTTTCATACCCCCATTGCCACCACCACCACCACCACCAGAAGAGCCAGTTGCCACTCCAGCGCCGCCGCCGCCCAATACTTATCGAAGAGCCGTTTCACTGCCAAGGAACCCCAGACCAGTACGTCCAAGGCTTCCCAGCAGCACACGACCGACAGACACATCGCCCGAGTGTACGAATGACCCCTCTCCGACCAAGACTACAAATCCCATTCCCCCACTACCAGTAGTCCCAGAAAACAATCAAGTAAGGCCCCGGAGCCGGAGCCATAGCTCGACTCTTTCAGGGACACTCGAATCTTCTCCTCCACCAGCTTCTCGACCACCCCTTCCCCTGAATACATCATACCCCACGCCTCCTTCCTCAACCAAGTCTCCGGTTTCTCCTCAAAAGACGCTCGAAAACATCAGAGAGGACAATGCGTTCCAAAGCAATAAATCACTGCCTCCTCCCCCCCAACCAAGCGTCATTCCTATTGACAACAACAATGATTACAACGACAATTACAAGAATCCAGTTCCTGCACGGAAATCGCGATTCACCTCCCTCAAAAAGTCGCTTTCGCTCAAGATCCTACCCCAGGGCTCGAATGGGCGCCGCTCCCCCTCAGCCCTCTCACCAACAGCCGACCCGCAATCTCCCACCCTGACAACGAAAGATATCCCGCCCGATTGGGCAAATACCATTGTTCCCTCGAGTTCTCTCCGCAGGAAAAACTCAAAACAGCTCACTTCCCCTGCTTACAATGGGGAAGTATTCGCACGGATAGAGACGGAAGGTTCACGAGTCGTGAGTATCGGTAATGATGAGAAGGAGGTCGCGGAGTATCCCGCCCGAAGTCCTCGCACGACCAAAACTCCGACTGGGCCTGCCCTTGCCGGCACCCAAGCACCCAAGTCTCTCCATGTCAGGCAGAGGTCGAGACGTCTGGCATCGCCAGGTTATGTCCAGGAGAAATACAATCTTGCGGATGGAGGTAGACGTGACGGAGACGTAATTGGAAATATTGTCGTTTCGGGCGGAAGGTCACCTGGCATGTCTGATGAAGAGACGAGAGCGAATAGGAATACCAGGCCGCCAATAAGAGGGAACGAAACCAATGTTACTCCTAGTAGACCACAAAGGCCAGAGAGGCCGGACAGACCAGATAGTTCGAGGTTTGACCTCCCGGAGATGTACGACGAAAAGATGAGACCAATGTCACCGAAACCCGAACCACCTCCAAAAGACTCCTCAGTAGGACCGAGACTCGTCCCACTCAAATTCGCCTCCGCTTCCTCTCCAAAGGAAGTAGCACCAGCTGGCCCGGCACAACCGAAGCTGATCCCACTCAAATCTTTCCTCCCACCTTCTCCTGAGGGGTTGGAGGATCGCTCTTTCCCTTATGCCTACGAATCGATCGACGATGTCACTGACAATCCTCCCCTCAAAGTTGCACCCTTGAGAATTAAATCTTCTGAGAATACACCCGCACCCGAAAGTTACATTGGCTCTGCTCCTCGAGCGCCGAATAACGAGTCTACCACTCAAATGTCGAATACAGACTCTGCATATGCGACTCAAGTTCCGGACAACAAATCTGCAACTCAAGCCCCAACCTCAGTAACAGCTCAGCTCATATCCCGCGCCGCACCAAGAAAGCTATACAGCGCAACCCACAGCACCTTCCTCCGCCGCTGCTCCGATGGGCGTATTACGATCCCGGTCCTTTCTCGATACCTAACACAAGAATGGATATTCCTCCAACATTACCTTCGTTTCATAGCACTCCTCCTCGCAAACCTCTCCATCCCATCAGGACCAGCACTTCGCTCACCAATATCTCCTTCACAAACCCCCAAATCAACGAAAGTAGAGAGGGAAATCAACGCTCGTCTAACACCCCACCTAATCACCCGGCTCTCTCGCGCCCAGAACCAACTCTCCCTTTTTTCAAGCCTGGAGGCCGATATCCCAGACCTCAGTCTCGAAAGCTGGGAAGAAGCAGCAGAGGACGGCATGACGGACGCTACGCGGATGACTGTACGTCTCTTCGACGTAATGGGTACCGCGGTAGAGAGAGGGGAGAAGAGTGTTCTCGTCGGTATGGTAGTTTTTTGGGCTAGGGAAAAGGTATGTCCTTTTTAAAGCGCAATTCTCATCAAAAACGAAAGGAGATGGGTGCTAACGAACATTCATAGGCTCACCTCGAAGCCTGGAAACAAGTCCAATCCACGGTCGCCATGCGCAACCAACCGGATCAGCCCGATATCCCCGCCGAGTCCCCAGCTGCCTCGCTCGCAGTGCAGAATTACCTGCTCCCCTGTTTCGCTGGAAATGAGTCGATGATGGTTATGGAAGAGTTGACGAGGCTGTTGGATGAAGTGTGGTGTGATAGGTACTTGGGGACTAGGGAGGGGTTTCTCGAGCGGGTAGGCGCGAAGGGGGAGAGAAAATCCTGGGAAGAGAGGGGGTGGGAAGGAGATGCGAAGGAGTTTGAGGAGATGATGGAGATGGTATTGGGGATTATGGCGAGGGGGTGGCCAGGGCTCGAGGGGAGATAACTAGGGCAATGAAGAGAGCATGTATAGACGTTAACAATGAGACATAGGGAGACCTAGTTCGTCATTGTGTCGATCCATTGTTTTATTGCTGCGAACCACGCCGGATCTTAACCTTTCGAAGGTGGTCAGTTCGAAGTTGCAGTTGCATCACGTGATGTTGTTTTCTCTTCGGACGTTGCCTAGCGCTTACATCCACTCACCAGACTCTTTCTCACCGATTTGATAAGCGCTTGCGTCCACACTCTCTTGCCGGTTGACAACTTCATCTCAATTCTTCTCTTGAAGGAGATTTTAGGGTCGATCATCTACTCCTCTCGCTCCAGTCAATGTTTCTATACGTGTCGCATCGGTCATAAATTAATACAGAAGACCAATAGGACAGGGGCTCGCGCACCTTAGTGTTCGTGAGAGTATTTCGTTTCTGCATCCAAAAAGGGGTACCTAGTAAGTTAGATCCAAGGCTGATGTGGCAATGAAGGTGTTGATAACCATCCTGGTCCTCAGAGTGAGATCCGTATCTTCGTTGCACTTCCTTCCCTCAGCAATGGCAGGAATTTCCACTCTCTGGGTTCCTCTCCTCACCACACTGGCTGGTATAGGGTCTCTCACCCTCGTTTCTACCGCCTACTCCACCATCCGCTTCCTCACTCTCCATCTCATCACACCCTCGCATCCTCTCCAATCCTACAAGCGCGCCGATCCCGAGCCAGCATACGCCCTTATCACTGGCTCCAGTGCAGGTATCGGCTTTGGCATCGCCCGCGCGCTCATCCAGCAAGGCTTCAACATCATCCTCCTCGGGCACCTCGCTGGCGAACTAGCCTCAGCAAAAGAACAGCTCCAAACCCTCGTCCCTTCAGCCTCCATCCAGATCCTCGTCATGGATGCCAGGACAGCGAGCCCCGAAGAGATGCAAGCTGCCGTGCAGTCCATCGCGCATCTGAACGTGTCGATCCTCGTCAACAATGTAGGCGGGAACCCCGTCACGCTGCCGCCTTTCCGCGTCCTGGGAAACTATTCGAGTGGTGATGTCGATGCGGTTATTAACCAGAATGCAAGATTTATGGCGAGGCTCACTGCGATGATGCTCCCGATTTTGAGCCGGAGGAAAGAAGAAGGGGGAAAGGGGGCGGAAAGGGGTGAAAGGAGTCTGATCATTAACTTGAGTTCGGCCGGCAGGATTGGCCTCCCGTGGCTCGTCATGTACGGCGCCACGAAAGCTTTTAACTGGGCTTTCAGCTGTGGGCTTTCGCGCGAGCTTTCAGTGGACCCGGGAACGAGGCATATTGATTGTTTGGCGATTCTTCCTGGGGATGTAAAAAGTCAGGGGAATTGTGAGGGCGTGAGTGCGAATGATCCGAGGTCGGATGAGTTTGCGGAGCAGGTGGTGAGGAAGGTTGATTGTGCGGTTGGGAGGGGCATGAAGGAGTTGAGGCCGTGGATGATGCATGGTGTTCAGGATTGGGTGTTGGGTATTTTGCCGGAGGGAGTGAAGAGTAAGGAGCTAATTAAAGTATTGGGGAAGAAGAAGGATGCGTTTAATGGAGCTTGGGAGAAGAGCAGATAGATTGTGGTGCTGTGGGATAGACGGGGTGGGTGAAGTGTAGATGGGAATGAAGGAGGTACTCTAGTGAGAACATGACGAATGAATGAGATTGCGAAGAGAAGAGAATGCTCGATGAAATGCTGGAGGTGAAGGAGAGAGTCGGCGCTCCTCGTTGGGAATGAGCAGAGGTCAGTTCTGAGCGCCCCTTGACAGACTTGCTCCCTTCCCAACTTCCACCCATTGACTAAGAATGGTAAACCCAATCTGAGTGGAAGATTGGGTGAGTAGATGAATAACAGCTGTGGATTGTTGTTGATGGAAAAGCACGTGTGCCGTCCGCAGGACTAGCCCCTGCCGAGTTACCTTGCCTCCTTTGCTCCTGAGCACCAGTGGAGCATTTCTCCTCCTTACAAAAAAGGACCACATACTTTGCACCCTCGGCGTCATCACTTGATGACTTTCAACTGAGCATCTGGCAATCCTACAGGCAAAACCACTGACAGTTCGGGAAATCCTTGCCACATTTCTAACGCCCTGGGCTGTATCAGAACGGGGTGGGCGGCTGGTTCGGGGCTCAAGCACCTTCGAAGTATATAGTCCACCATCTGCCCATGGTATGAATTTCACAATTTTGGCACAGAACTGCCCACCAAATTCCTGAAGATTCGGTTTTCAGCCTGTTCATTGGCGTCAGAATCCTTGCAGGGCGTCCTCGCTTGACAGCCTCACTCTCCTCACCGACTTCGTCGAAGATGGACTTGAGCAATTTCGACTTCGATGCCCTCGATCATGCAACTCGAGACGAAACTCTCGCCCGTCTGTCCTATCCAATTGTTCCGGGCTTTGAATTGGATCCATCCCGTCCAATCGAATCTCTCGATAATGCTTGGCATGAGACCGACTGGCAGAGCGACTGGCAGCAGACCAGCTGGCAACAGCATAGCGCCCATGCCCATGCATACAACGAGCCCCAGGGCGCTCTGTGAGTAAAAAAAAAAAGAACACTCGCTAATCAGGGCGTACTCGGAGCCGCAGACCAGCCGATTTTCAGGGTCAAACCCACTCCCCAACAATGCTAGTGGAGTTCCATCCCAATCTCGACCCTCAAGAGAGCGACAAGACACACTACAATCTTGTACCTTGGACTGGCCTTGTCAAGACCCAGGGCCTTGCCCTTGCGACTCAGAATACGACTCTCCTTGAGTCTACTGACACGCATGATCTCAATCACATCGAAGCACGGGATAGCAATTGTACCAAAGCAGAAGACCTTAAACGTATCGAAGAGGCACGAGCTGCGAAATGTTGTACTTGGAAGGACTGTCAATCAGTTTCCCCCTTCCCAAGTGGTGCTGCTCTCAAAGGCCATCTCGAAGACCATGCAAGAGATGTCATTAAACGCTGGTCACGCGATACTGAGTGTTCATGGAGCGGCTGTGTCTCGAAGGCGAAGTTCAAGCTTCTTTCGCCATTGAGAGGCCATCTTGAGAATGCTCACGTCAAACCCCTTCTCTGTATCTGACCAGGATTCTCATTCAAGAGACCATTTCGAAACATCAGCGACCTCCAACGTCATATACAGACCGGGCATTCCCGGACTGGCGGTTTTCGATGCCCGTACAAGGAGTGTAAGTCAAGTACCAGGATATTTGCTCGCAAAGACAAATGGCTCGAGCATGTTCAAGACGCTGAGCACCAGCTGGACAACTTTTGCCCCGTGCAGCACTGCGAGAAGGAATCTAGAAATCGCTGTGAATTTCTATCTCCTAAAGAGGCCATCAAACACATGTTCAATGAGCATGGAGGAACGCCTCTAGACGTGCGTGACTTCAGTTGCGCAATCGGAGGCTGCGAAGCTGGGGATCCTCCTTATTTAACCAAGGACCAGCTGAAGAAGCACCTCATTACAGACCATAGCTTCGCTGAAGTCATGCTACAGGTCGTTCTGGACGCGGCGGAGGCTACCGAACTTCATCGGGTTCAGAGACAACTTATCCCCACGGGAATCAAGTTTGATTCTTGCAGACTTTGTCTTCCTCCACCTCCCCCTAAGCGTGTTTCCGACACCTTCACCCCTCTCTTCCATCGCAATAAAAGAACACGTTTTGATACAATCGTCTATTGCGTAAGCCATCCCTGCAATCGAATTTTAACCTACGCTAATTCGCAGTGCCAATGCCATATGCACCACAACCCTAGGATAGACCTTAGATGTACTGGTTGCCCGGAGAGGCCTCATGAATTTTGCTCAGGTTGCCTCACCCTAAGAATCCCTGGTAGCGGTTCCCAAGATAGCGAACCAGAAACCTCGGGCAAAAGCCCCCCCAGGCGCAATGGCGCGGCCCCCTAGCATGTCATGAAAGGGAAAAGGAAATTGAGCGATCTCCATCACATGTCTGCTCGGAAACGATCTCGAGAACAACGTGTTGATAGGGATGAGGTTGTCTACTGTGTAAGCCATCTCTTCCATTGAACTTGAAGCTGTCCTAATTTTCCAGTATCAATGTAAATCTTTCAACAATCCCGCACTCGATCGTACCTGTACTGGTTGTGGCTGTGCGCAGCATGCATTCGGCTTTGAGATTTGAATTAGTACCACCTCAACTTAAAGTGTTGTAGTTTTGGTTCTCACCTCCCAACCTTTGGTAGTGGGGATGGATTTCGCAGTCAGCCATGGCAATCGTGTGGCTTTCCTTTGACTCAATGCGCGTTACACTTACTTTCCTTTCATTCACTCCCTTCGGCCCGCAATCATACTATTGTTTGTTATTTACAACTTGAATGCAAATTGGATAACAAGTTCTGACATCGCTTGAACGTGTGCTGAAGATAGTACAGTATATGGTATGTCAAAATGTTTCATTGAACTCTCACTCCAGCCTTTCTAGATTTGCAGTTAGATGATTTTTTAAATTTTAAGGAAGAAGTAGGCTTTATTGAGGTTAAGAATTGTGAACATAACGACTGACCGCGAAATGGACTGCAATGAATGAATGTGCCCACCTTTTCCAACCCGAGACATTCCCAAAATTTCAATCATCTCATTGCACAATTTTCATTTACTATCTAATCAGATGAAGTCAATCCTACATGTTACGTTAGGTCAGAACAACAATCTTCCCGCCTGCGCTATTCTCCTCCATCACCCGATGCGCCTCCACAATCTCCTCAAGCCGAAACACCTTCCCGATTTTAACGCTCAACTTTCCCTCCTTAATCTGCACGCACAACTCCTCCAGCGGCGTTGCCATGAAATCGTCCGGTCCGCCAGCATACGTCGTAAGATTAACAGCTGTAGGGATCGCTTCCATCGGGCTGAAGCTCTGCAGTTCCCACGCGTTTCCCACCATACCCGTCATACAGACACTTCCTCCTTCCTTGACACACTGAAGAGAGTCGAGGAGCGTCGTCGTGCCTACTAGTTCGAGAACTTTGTCGAACTTCTCTTTCCCGTGGAGTTGCGTGGACACGTGGCCGTCATCAACAAACACCTCATCGCATCCAGCACTCTTCATCATTGCCTCACGATCTTTCCTCCTGGCTGTCCCCGCGACATAGCAGCCGTGGTTATGCGCAATACTCGCAGCAGCCAACCCTACACTTGTGGTCCCGCCTCTCACAAGCAACCTATCTCCTTTCTTCAACTTAAGACTCTTGAACAAGCTCCCCCAAGAAGTCTGCAACATCTCGGGTATCGCGCCCATGATCTCCCATTCCAGTTCCGTTTTCACCGCTTGTACTTGGGATGCTGGAACAACGCAGTACTCGGCGTACCCGCCGTCAAACAGTCTCCCCATGCCTCCCATGCATGTCGCTACTCTTTGCCCCTCTTTGAACTCTCCAGCGGGACATGATGCAACGATACCTGTGGCTTCGATTCCCAAGATCCTGGGTAATGTGACAGCGGAGGGGGGTGAGCGTCCTTGCCGCGTGAAGAGCTCCGAGCGGTTGAGGCCAAAGGCTTTTATGTTTATGAGGACTTGTCCTGATTTGGGGTTTGGGATGGGGCGGTTCTTGAGTTTGAGAGCTTCTGGACCGCCGGGTGCGTGGAGGACTGCGGCGCGCATAGTTGAAGGCATTGCACTTGTCAGGGATCTGGAGAGGGCTTGGAAGATAGAATGTGATCGTATGAAGAAGTTGATTTGAAGGCTGGGGATGAGTTTTGTACTTGCTACGATTTTGGGGAGTTGTTGGAAGTGGGCGATCATAAGAAGTCAGATGAATGTTGGTAATTGGAGAGGAAAGGGTTTATGGGGTGAAGTGGTGGAGATACTTCTGACTGGTAAACAGGTGGGGTTAAGATGCATTAGTGGGTGTGCGATCTAGTGTGTGGTTGGTTAGGCGCCCTGCATATTCGGCCCCGGTTTTGGAGGAACCCGGGGGCATCTTGCTAGCTTCGAACTTGGGGTGGCAGATATATTTTCCATCTGAGGTTAACAAGCACTCCACGAAAGCTAACAATAGACCCCAAGGGCCTGGCAAAAGCTCTCATGTGACATGCAGAGGTGACTAAGAACTCGAATTTCCCTTTACAGAGATGCAGAGCAGAGATAAACACGAAGCCGATCCCGATTCCGTTAGAGACATGCTTCTAAAGTAGGAGAGGGGGTGGGGGAACGTTGAAACTTTCACGATTGGAAGATGGGTTTATGCAACTCATCGCGAGATATTAATCCAGGAACCCGAGGAAAGCTGCATGTCAAATCAAAAATTTGCTTATATTTCCGCTTTGCCCCTCACTTCCGCCGAAGATCTTTGCATTAAGTCCATCTCACCCAACTGCAATCGGTGTTTCTCACTCGAGAAACGCTTGCCTCCTAACTCGAAAGAACGAGATTCTTAGCACCAGGGAAAGGAGCAAACAAGACCAGAACGTCCCTGACCAGTTCGTGCTCCATGCTTCCAGCTGCAACTCGCGACTCTGAAACTGACCATACATCCCCGTTGTGCTCCAACAACACCAAAACAGCCATCATAACCCTCCTCCGCACCTACCAAACAGCTCTGAATGCCTCATCCACCTCCTCAATCCTCGAACTCTACACATCGGACGGCGTCTGCATGGCGCAACACTTCTCACAGCCGTGGAGCGGAGCCATAATCGCAGCCTACGACAAAGATGGTCAACGGTGACCACGCTCTCGGTCGACTTCGACATTATCGAGATCGTGGACATGAGTGAGGAGTCTGCGTTCGCACGTACCGTTTCAGCAGGGCAGCCACAGCTAAAATTTGGGTATGAGAGTGCGGAAGCCAATCAAAAGCTCTTTGTATTGAGGACGGAGGATTGGGGATGGGAGATTGCGAGGTATTGCTTTTGCAGTTCGCTGCTTCGGTACTAGATGGAGAGAGTTCGATCATGGCTGGGAGCGATCGCAACTCGCGAGAGGTTGACACTTCAGACTCCCAGCTCATGGTTCCAGGCTTGATACAAACAATAGCTGAATGCAGGCAGCATTTTCAACTGAACGAGTCCCTTGGCTTCCTCTGCTGTGTCGTGACGTTGAGACGGGAAGTTGCTTCCTTATCTTACACCACCTCATGTCGTCTCTCAAATCCCTCATATCCGTCTCTAGCGAGGATACGAACAACGTCCTCGCGCTATAGATATTCGCCCTGGAGGCGTTGCGTCTACGTGTATACCAGAATCAGACATGGTTCGCCCATCACCTTCGCCGAGATGATCGAAGATATGGGGATCACGAGCTGGTAAGCGTGGAAAGAGGCGCTCGGTCGGTGCATTTGGCACGAGAGGTTATATGTTAAGGCGTATGAGAAGCTGTGGAGGGAAGTAGATGGGAGGCGGAAGGAAGGAGGTTGGGGGTGTTGAGGCGTGAGTGCAAGGGGTGGGATACTGTAATCGAATGCTCCTCACCGCCTAGTTGCTGGCGATTTTCTGAGGGGATGAATAGACGTGACTTCTGCCATTGCTCAGAGAGAGGCCCGAGAAGTGGTGACTCGTGTGTGAAGTGCTGGTTTGCGAGAAACAGAGGTGGGGAGAAGACCAATTTAGAGGATCTAGGTTATTAATATCTAGCTTTAGACATACAACCTGATTAGTATTGTGGTTGGTGTTCAAGGCGGCAGCAGCCTGAAGCGATGTGTGAAGAGCCAACACTGAGGAGTACGGAAGCGAGGTTGCAAGGCTGCGAGAAGAAAACAAACAAAAAAAAAAAAAAGGTAGAGAAAGGATTCGAGCTTTATTATGTGTTCCGAACAATGCACCGGGTCGGGGAAGGTCTAGAGAAGGCTTCAGGCTTGGTAGAAAGTAAAGCCTACAGCATAAGTCCCATCACGAATAAAATGTCGAAAAAGAGCTCAAACGTCTCAACGATTTGCGTGTTCATCCTTGTGCAGGGGCAGTGCTAACCTTCTCTGTATTTTTTACAGTATGACCATATGCCTTCTCGGCGAGGGAAAGGGTGCAAACCCGATTTATCTGCCTACCTTCATGTGTCCCGAGGCAGCAATCGAGCTTTGGTGCTGAAGCGTTGCTTGATTGGCCGAGACGAGGGGGAACCGAAAATCCGAGAGCAGTGAAGCGAGAGGAACTACGCCCTCAAAAAGTTTGCAAAAAAAAACCAAAAAAAAAGACGTCAAGACCACTTCAGAAAATCAAAATTCGATTTATCCGGGCTCAAAAGGTGAAAGAAAAACCGAAGGAGGATGAGAAGATTCTACGATATTAGAAAAGCAAAAGAAGAAGAAAAAAACATAGCTTCTCTCTGATTGAGCGTGTCATCCTTAGTGCAGGGGCCATGCTAATCTTCTCTGTATTTTTACGATTTGACCGTGTGTCTTGCGACGAAGGGAAGTGTTTGAATTTGGTACAAGTACCATGGTTTGGAGGGGGTGTTGGTGCCTAGTCGGGGGCGTGGCGAGGCAGATGGGAGGGCGAGTGAGTCATGTCACGGGATTTAAAACTTTGAGGGAATGACGGGAGCGAACCGTGGTTAAGCTGGAGGGAGGTTGGGGCCTTAGGCTTGAGGGGATGGGAGTGTGAGGAGTACTTGGAGGCGTGACTTGGATATTTTGGTTGGATTTGGAGAACGGCGATAAGTGACCCCACAGCGGACGATGTGCGAAATTTGCCGAGACAGCGGTTTGGGACGCGAGTATGAAGAATTATTAAGTTGATGAGGACTTGGAGAAGTTTGAGGTGTAAATACCTGAGAGCGGCACGGTGAACTGTAGGAAGCTGTAGGGAAGAGCGATGTTTTTGCTTCTTGCATCGAGCTCCGCTGCATGAAGAGGCGACTTGGAGGGAAGCAAGACGCGAAGGAAAAGAATGACAACATTATGCTAGACTGGGAGAAAGAAGAAGTTTCGGTTTGAGAATCGAGAATGCATCGAGACTCGGTGGAAGCGTTGCTTGAAGCAGACTTCAATCCATAAGATCACTTGATCCGAGTTCTCTCGTGTTGGCAGGAAAGAACTGCTGGCCGCGAACTCGCGGGGCCAGGTCGCAACAGGCTGAATTGATGGATCTAGGCGATGTGGGCTTGTTAGCCGGGGAAAGACTAAAACGACCCCCCACCCCCGGCGTCGATTGGGGGTGTCGATTGGGGCAGGGGTATTTAATTGGCTATCTGAGCTCTTTAAAAATCTGAAATTAGATTTTTCAATATAAGTCTAAGCTAGTATATTATAACCCCTGTATTGTAATCACGTACTTTCTAACTTATAATAAAAAGATTCCTTAAAATAGTATTTTAATTTTAGGGAGTTTATATACTAATTAATTAAGTTTTAGTTTTTGAGCCCTATAAGGCCTTATAAATTATGGGCTTATAGGGCTCTTAAATCTGGTTTTAGGGACTTTTTTCGCTAAATTTCTAGGCTATAAAATATGAAACTTTTAATTTCTTTAATTTAAAGAGCTATTACTAATCCAAATTTTATAAAAAGCTTATAATTAAATAGTCTTTAATTAGCGCTATAAGGAAATAAAACAAGTATTAATTTATATTAATTTATTATAAAATTAAATTAAAATGAAGAAAAAGCCAGAGTTTTGGTGTTCCTGTCCGAGCGCCTAGCCTGCTCCCAATCGACACCCCTAATCGACACCGGGGGGGGTCGTTTTAGTCTTTCCCGTTAGCCGAAGAGATGATTCACCCCAGCAAGCCGCTTTCCCACCAATCATACGAAGTAGTGGAGGCTGAGTCATGCACAGCCCCTCTACTGCCTCCGGCTGCCTCACATAACCACCTCAAGGCATATCGAGCGGGGCTGAAGCATTTTCTTCACCCTCAGATGGTATTCGTACGACTTTTCACTTTCTTTAAGAAAATCTTGCATACTTCTACTGCTTTTATTTACCCCACGAATCCGTCTAATCACCAGAGAGGACCATGGGAGACCCATTCGGCATATCAGTGAATATCGGAGGCCTCGTTCAGCTTGCGGATCTTGTTGTGAACAAGATATGGCCATTCTTGAAAGAAATGAAGAACCAGCGATCAGAAATATCCAAATTATCATCCGAAGTTGCCTCTCTTTCGGGAATCCTTCACAGCCTTCGCCTTCTCTCTGAAGGCAGTACGGTGCCAATCAAACATGATGATATTTTGGAATGTCAGATGATCCTAGAGGGGTTGCGGGATACACTGAAAAAAGCAGACGGTACTTCTTCCCGCAAACGAGACCAAGTCAAAAAATTAGCGCAACAACTGTGCTTTCCTTACGAAAGGGTCGAATTTCACAAAATCCTTGAACGGCTAGAGCGCCTAAAATCAACATTCAACCTAGCATTAACAGCTGAGAGCATTGCTAGTCAAATAAACCTCAAAGCGGATGTCAAAGCAGTGAAAGAAGAGCTTTTCCGGCGAAAAGAGCTCGAGGCCAGAATAGAGCTAGATGAAAAGCGGAAGAAGGTCTTAGATTTCTTCGGCCGCGTTGGCCCCAAAGAAAACCATGCCATGAGCTTGAAGCTCCGACATGAAGGAACGGGACTATGGCTGCTCAAAGAATCGCGTTTCAATGGATGGCTACAGAACTGCGACTCTCACATCTGGTTTTACGGGATTCCTGGAGCTGGAAAGACAATTTTGGCATCATTACTCATTGAGAAAGTTTTTCAGCTGTGCAAGCCCTCTGAAGCTGTCGCTTTCTTCTACTGCGACTATAAAGATACCGCGAAACAAGACCCATGCTATATACTTGCGTCAATAGCATCCCAGATTGCGATTCAGCATGAGAAGGCGTGCGAGATTCTCGAAGAAGAGCACAAGAAGATACATCCCGGAACGACTGACGTCAAGCATTTGAAACCCGAGATTTTAGTCAGTCTGCTGAAAAAGCAGTTCGGTCTCTTTGATTTCACTACTCTCATCATCGATGGACTTGACGAGTGTGGTGATAACACAGCAAATGTGCTCGATCAACTGGTGTTTTTAGCTGGGGAATTCAAGCTGGCCCTCCGATTAGCTATTTTCAGTCGGGATGAGCTCATTATCCGCAAAAGATTGACTGAGATTGACTGCGAATCGATTTCTATTGCTGCAGCAAGCTCTGATATCAGACGATACGCAGCCTCGGAGATAGAACAACGCGTGAGAAATGGACGACTACTTATAGAGTATTCGTCAACCAAGGAAATTATTCTACAGAAGCTGATAGATAAAGCCCAAGGAATGTGAGTAACGGCGTCCCATCTTTTACTACACCATCTTAACTATTATAGGTTCCGTTGGGTTGCGTGTCAGCTCGACTTCATTTGCGATATGACGAGCGATGATGAATACTGCAAGGCCTTGGATATTCCTGCGCCAACTCTTTTCGCAATTTACGAGCGCCTTCTTCTTAGGCTTCAAAGCAGACCAAAATCGACTCAAGCTCTCGTTAAGTCTGTGCTGATATGGATCCTCTTTCCCCCTCGTTCATTAAGCATGAAGGAACTATGCGAGGCTGTCACCATACCTACTGGCAGCAAAGAAAAGCCAAGTCCAGTAGCGCTCAACCAAATTCGAAAATTCTGCAGTAGCTTAATTCGGGAGGCTGCTAACGGCAATCACCTTGAAGCCGCCCACTTCACCGTCAAAGAATTTTTCAACACTATCACCAAAGAATCTCATCCGCATATTTCTTACTTTTGTTTGTCAAAAGAAGAGGCTTACCTTGAATTCAGTAAGGTTTGCTTGACGTATCTCAACTTCAAGGATTTTCAGAAACATATTCCGCCCTTTGAATCTCTACTAGATGCATTCGAGGGCTATCCATTTTATGGCTATGCAGCTTATTTCTGGATCAGCCATGCAGAAAATCATTGGAACAATGAGGATGTTCTTCGATTGGCAAAGCAACTTTTCAAGCCTCCAATGTCGACCAATTTCAAACTTTGGCGCAATAGTGTTATTTCCAATAATAAAGCTGGCTCTGAATTAATGGAGAGAATCAACCGTTTAGGAGACTCCCCTCTTCACTGGGCTGCGTATTTCGGCATTCATCAGCTACTAGAATGGCTTGTTTCCTATGGACAAGACATTGATTCTGCTGCAGCTCTCGGAACACCTTTGTCGGCTGCCATATCAAATAGTAGCGGTAGTCTTATATGGCAGGGAAGCATATTTACAGTACCTCTATACTCATTTAACGACATTTGCGAGTTAAGGTACAGATTGCGCCAGGATAGAGTACAAACTTGCGTCAAGACGCTTATCCAAAGAGGAGCACGGACGGAGCACATATTCGAATGCGAAATCAGCGACAAGATGTTCAACTTATCCTTACACGAAGTTCTACTGTACTCAGTAGATATTAAGTTATTAGAAATGGAATCTTTGGCGATCGAATTTTTTGATGAACATGTCGCAGCCGGGATGAAGCATTTCGTCAATTCGTCAGAAAGTGGGGGAATTTATTATGCCAACGGTTTCACATTGCGAGAGCGAGTGGTGCAAATGTTGCGCGGAATGGAAAGGGCTTACATTGTTCCGGAGTTTCGTTTCGCGTTCAATGGTTATGTCAAGGAGCTTGACGACAATATAAGCCCTGACTACGAAGCCATGCATGAAGTTTGGAAAGCTGCGCGGAATGACCAAGCCGATGTCTTGGAGTCGCTCTTAAAAGAAAGAGGAGGTATTAGGATCAACGAACTAGTTGACTACTTTTCTGACAGCCCTTTCGATGAAGATGTTGACAAGTATTATGATGGTAGAAAGAATGCCCTTCATTGGGCAGCTAGCGCTGGCTCATTCGAATGTATCCAAGTACTCATGCATGCAGGAGCAAGTGTACACATCGCCACAGACGACGGTAACACTGCACTTCATTTCGCTGCAAGATCGCTGAATGTTGGAGCGAAACGGTGTGTAGAGCTGCTCGTGGATGCTGGGCTTTCTCTTGATGCGAAGAACGATGCAGTTTGGACTACTCTTCACTGTGCTGCTTTCAGCGGCAACAAGAATCTTGTCGAGTTCCTACTAGGGAAAGGGCTCGATCCCCATCTCTCTACTTACACGGAGAATACCGCATACCACCTGGCGTCGATTAGTGGTTCCGGTGACGTTCTGAAACTATTACTCGAACATGAGAAAGGGGGGATTTCCGGGATGCATGTCTCAGGCGCAAATGGACTCAAGCCTGCCCAATTGGCAGTAGTCCAGAACAAATCCGTCTTCATTGGGGAACTCCTCAAACATATTGACATGAAAGAGCTCGCTGTTGAAGAAGAACCATTTATTCTTTACGTGGCAAGGGAAGGATCTGCTGAGATGATGAAGGTTGTTCTGAGCTTAATTCCCGATGTTTTAGTCCGGGGACGAGATCAATCAACAATTCTCCATGCGATGGCGGAGAATTATGACATGGCGGAGGATTATGCCGATTTTCAACAGATTATCCGCGATGTCATAAGAAAGGGGGTCCCTAGGTCTGATGCAAGAACTGACGGCTCTAAGCCGTTGCATCTTCTTCTTTCTGGTCTGCAGCCAGTAAAGGAAGAACTACTGGATCTAATGATTGAAGGCAATCCAAATGATGTTGACGGCAAACGAGATAATTACTTGATGTGTCTTTTACGCTCTCATCGGTCAGCGTTACAAAAGATATATATCGCTTTGTATCTTATCAAGCTTGGAGTAAATCCATTCCAGAAGAACAAAAAGGGAGAATTTTTCTATCACCAGTTCACGGAGACTTATCCCGACTCAGTTTTGCAAGTCACGCCTCATATCAATGACCTGAAGAAAATGGATGGGGTTCATTGGAGTTTATCCAAATGGTTGACAATTCACTTTGCAATCATCAAAGGCGACCTTAGCCTTGTCAAGAGTTTGCTGGAGAAAGGATCATCTTTATCAAAGCAAACAGGATATAGAGAATTCTACATGGCAGGTCGGCAATTCCACAAGCGCAGGTTGAATTGTATGCACCTCGCTGCTTTGTATGGCTGGAAAGACATCCTCGAATACATTCTTGGAGCATCAAATCTGCCAATTGATTGTCGAGATGAATACGGATGCGCTGCTCTGCATCTTGCTGCCTTTAATGGATCAGATGGTTGTGTCAAACTCCTTCTTTCGAAAGGGGCCGATGCAAAAATACAAGACAAGTGTGGAAACAATGCTCTTCACTATGCGTTGGGCTCGAAAGCTCCTCCTGTTATAGAAATGCTTATTGAAGCAAGGACACCTATTGTGGCTAACCAAACAGGCGACAACCCAATTGACTTGGCTATGAAAGATACACATGGTGATATCACAGAGCTTCTGCGAAAGTATCAGGCTTCCAGAGATGACGGCTATTATGATGACCTTTCAAGCGTGGATGAGATACATGAAGTTGTTTCATCAGATCTACCGTTCAGATTTGGCTCGAGAAAGAACCAACATACCTTTGAGTTCAACAGCCCATTAACTTTGGATCTTTCAAGGGCGAATTGAATCTTGTGTGGTGGACTAAGAAAGCGCATGGCATGGTAAAAATGGGTCAAGTCATTAGAATTTGTTCGGAGTGCGGATTTTGAGCATGTTAAATAATTGGTACGTGGACATTAATAATGATTCAATTGCCAATATCAGCTTCCCCAAATTTCAGAAGCACTGTTAAGTCTTATTTTGAAGCGAGATAACATGTGTGATGGTATATAACAGTGGTGCAAAAGAAGACAGACCTAGATTCTCACTAATATAAGCTATAGATTCCCCCCACACATGCCTGGGTAGTAGCTATTATGCCCAAAATTTGCCCGCTGCTCTGTCTAGAAGGGCTAATGAGGTACTCGATATGAGCAGTTGCTTTTGCTTTAGTAAAAACGTCACCTTGCCCAGCCATTGAGAGAAAAAAAGTCGTCTGACCATTTCGACCATAGAATGGCGACGAGGAGAGTTCTATGAGTCTAGTACTTGATGAGAGGTGGCACATATGCCTGGGGTCTCTTTATTATATTTTCAATGAAAATAAGGAACAGCGTGTCAAATAATTTAATTAATTATAATTTATTGGCCGGTAATCAAATTAAATTAAGTCAGAATCGTAGTAATCAAATTATAATTAATTATTTGCTTAATTTAATTAAATATAATTAAATATTTAGTTACGTGGTGTTGCACGTAACTGCGAAAATGGCAAAAGCGTTATGGCGTGAAATTAAGGTTTGAGCTAGCCTAGTTTGGACGCCACCTTACCGCAATAGGCTTAGCTGCGGCTGCGCCCGCTTGGTAAGCGAGCCCGAAGGCACTAGAATCCCCTCGACTTTTTAGTGATTTCTTGCCACCTTATAAATAATATAATTACAAATAAAGTAATTATAAATAAGGAATCTTAGAAATCGATGGTTTAAAATCAGGAGAGTATTTCTAATCAGATGCTTATTAAAGAATCTTCTAGTTCTTTAGACATTTTATATATAAATAACTAATTTTTCTCGATTTTCTAGTAATTTCTTTTACTTCAAAATTATATATCAAATTAACTACTTATCCTAATCAAAAGATTTCTACTATAAAGTTACTCGAAATTATAATATCTATCCAGAAATATCGTCTACTAAGCTTAATATCTTTTAAATCGGAGAATTTTTAGCTAGAACCGCTTAAATAATAACCTTTTATCTTTTCCCTTAAATATTATTCGAAAACTCTTAACTCTCCTAAAGAGAATCTGAAGGATCCAATTAATTATCGAATAATTACTATTAAGTGCTTATTTAAGAACTGCAAGTAAGTTATATTAATTAAAATTAAAGTAATTAAAGCTAATATAATATTAGTAAAGTATTTCTCAAATAAAGAATTAATACCGCTATAAGCAATTATAAGACTTATTATATTAACGTATATAAATCTATTAATATTTATGAAGCTTTAAAGGCTAAAGCTCTTATAAGTAAATTTAAATTATAATTAAATCTTTTTTATTTTTAAAAAACTAACTTTATTTTAGATTCTATTATAAATAATTCGACTAAATTAAGTTAAATATCTATTATAAGTTCCTTTAATAAAGGCTCTAGTAATACAGAAAAAGCTTTTACTATAACGCACTTTAAGAGATTATTATTAGACTTTATAGTTAATAATAATATTTCTTTTTATATAATTATTACTTTAAGCTTTTAAAAGCTTCTTAATTATTTAAACTAATAAGTTATTAAAAAATTATCTTATATATTATTAAACTAACTTCTTTATAATAAAGTATTACCTTTATATTCTCAAGTACTTACAAATAAACTTACTTTAAGATTTAATGAAAATAGTAATCTTATAAAAGAAGAATTATTAGAAAATATCTTATTAAATAGTACTTTTTCTATTATATTAAATACCTAAATAGTTATAAATCAAAAGGCTTATTTAGGAATTACTATATAAGTTATTCTAATTAACTAAATAATAAAATATTTACTAATTTAATTTTTAGATATTTTATAAATAAAGAATTTAAATCAAAATCTTATTTACTAGTTATAAAAGATTTAAAGGACATTTATAATAGTAAATATATAAATTCGGTCTTATTAGAAGCTTTAAAAGTATATAATATTAAATATTATATTATTTAATAAGTAATATAAATCTTTGATTTTTTTATTAAAAATAATTACTAATATATTTTATTTAGTATTACTCGAGATAATACTAGCTTAAGTAATATCTTATTACAAGCTTTTATAAAGCATTATAATAAGAAAGAGAAATGCATTAAATTTCAAGGAGATATTATAATAGAAATATAAAACAAATAGTAATATATAGAGAGAATAGGCTTTTATAGTATGGGATTATAATATATAAATAAGACGTGAAATTAAGAAATAAAGATTAGTTTATTAGTTAGTTTTCTAAGAACTAAAAAAGAGAGCGGGAAATATATATGAAACCGGATATATAAATATCCGGAGGTTACTTAATTATATTATATAACTAATAGAAATAAAATCCCTAGTATAATATTTCTTATATAGCTTATATTTCAAATCTAGTAATTCAAGATATCTTAGAAGCTTTTATTAAGAATAATTATAATATTTCTTATTTTATAGATTTATATAAATAAGAAATAAAAGAACTTGAAAATAAAAAAGAAAAAAGAGAATAAGTAATAAACAAATTTCCTATATAATTTATAAGAAATTTGTTAATTTATTAGAGATTTATTAATTTATAAGAGATTTATTAATTTATAAGTGATTTATTAATTTATAAGAGATTTATTAATTTATAAGTGATTTATTAATTTATAAGAGATTTATTAATTTATAAGTGATTTATTAATTTATAAGAGATTTATTAATTTATAAGAGATTTATTAATAAATTATAGATTTATTAATTTAAAGAAATATTAGAAAAATAATTATAGATTTTAATATAAAAAATACTCGATTTTCTTAATTTAATAAATAAATAATATTTTCTTTAATTAAATATATAAGGTATTTATTAATAGATAATAAGATAATAGAATAAATTAGTAAGTTATAAAACTATAATTTTAAATTTAGTATAAAACCAATTTCTGTTTCTTTTATAAGATCCAGAGAAGCCTTCTCTAAATAAGAGACTCTAATAATATATATATAATTAGTAATTTATAAGTCTAATACTTATAATATAAATAGTAGTTAGTTATAATAGTAAAGGGCTATTAATTTCTCTAATTAATATCTATAATATCCAAAATTCATTATATTTTTTTTTAGTTATATATAATTCTATATATAATTCTATATATATTATAAAATAAGAAATTCGAAATAAGTTTAATTATTAAAGAAATACTTTATAAGAAAAAAAGAAGCTTATTTTTATAGCTATAAGAATTAAAAATAATTTAAACCTATTTATTTAATAGAAATATAATAATAAACTAATAGATTAATAAAAGAAAAGAAATTAGAAAAAAGAAAAATAATAATAATAAAAAGAAATAGAAAAGAAATATATTTCTATTATAAGATTTATATAACCGGAATAATAAAAATATAATAATGAGATCTAATATAATACTTATATTAAAATTTATAAAACCGGATATAATTTGCTTTATTTATTAGAAAAAGAATTACTATATTATTATTTACTCAAATTAGGGAAAATTAACTTATTATAATTATAACAAGTCTAGTTATAAAATATATAAATACCTAGAATTAAAGAAATTAAAAAACGAATATATCCTATAATAATTATATTTATTTATATTATAAAAAATAAAGCTCCTAAAACGAGAATAATAATTAAAGTTACTATTAAAATAAGGAAAAATAGGCGCAAAATTAAAATATTAGTTAATTCGAATATAGAAGCCAATTATATAAAGAAAAAGCTAGCTTTAGATATAAATATTCTATTAATATTAAAAGTAACTTCTATAATTTTACTAGAAAAAGAAGAATTCATTTATATAGAAATTATATTCTTAAAATTATTACTAAAAATATATTAAAAAACTAATACTAGAAACTCTCTAAAAATGCGAAAAACAGAAAATAGTACTTCTCTCTAATTATATATAAGTTCCCTAATCTGGTCTAGTACCAGATTCCTCAAATGCTTTATATATCTATATTATTTTTGAGGTTTTAGTTATATACTAAAGGCTATAGCCTTTTGCACGTGACCTTCTTTCTTATAAGTCCATATCCCTAATCCGGCCTAATACTAGATACTTAGATACCAGATATCCAGATACCAGATACCTAGATACTAGATACCCAGATATTAGATACTAAGGAAATCTCTATATATATTCTCTTATTTATATATCTATTTCCCGCTTTATTTATATTTGACCTATTTCTCTATATCTAATTATATAGTATTTATATTAATAAGGCGCTTAAGGGCATTTAATAACTTTAATTTCGTTATAGAGTCAGTAAGATTTAATTCTCTTTTAATTTACTTAATTTTCGTAATTTCTTATTATTTATATATCTAGTAAAGATATATTATATTAATTATTAGGTATTTCTCTTAAGTAATACCCAATTTAATAAGGTATTTATATAATGACTTCGAATTTATATAAATAACTAGTAATAGTTCTATTTCTAGTACTTTATTAATTATAGATTTAACTAAAGCGCCTATATTAAAGCTATAAGCTATACTATAGAGTTCTAAAACTAGAATACTTCTAGTAACTCTCTTATATTTAGTAAAGAACTAGTAAATAAT